TCCTTCCATTAAAAAAATTGGGGGTTGCTGCAACCCCTCATATAATTAAAAATAAAGAAACCTCTTTGTAATATGTCCCATTGAAAATAAAAATTGACGTGTTTCAGGAATTTTGTGACAAACCTTTATTAAGTTGTACATATACAGAATTTATTCCGGTTAAACTTTCCACTCTGTATAGAATTTTTAATATACACTGAACATTGCACATAAAGACCAGGCAAAAGGTATTGGTAATCTTAAAAAGAAACGCCAAAGATTGCAGTTAGAATAATTCATTTTTGAGATACAATTTTTTGACGCGTCGTAGTTTGTAGTCTCATTTAGACGTTTCAAGTACTTCTAATGATAGTGTCTGAAAAAAACGAGTGTCTGCCAGGTGCGACTGACCTTTGCAAGAAGTAGCCAAGTATAGGTGTGTGTGGAGGCCACTGAACTGATTGTGAGTTAAGAATCTTTTTAAGTCAATAGAAACGGAGAATTGTATTTAATTTAATTTGGTAGTTGTTTTCAGACTGTTTAAGGTGACTGAAACATTGGTCATGAAGGTATATAACTTTAAAAACCATTTTTGGTATTATGCCACATTTTTTTAAATTAGTATTCTCCGCAGTACAATACAGGGTACTCCTACATTATCATCCGATATTTTCAGTACGGATATTATTATTTTGTAATTTTCTTAAAGACGGCTCTGTTAACAGTTACTTAACTTACCCATAATTATTACAGCTATATAGTTATTGTTGTTGGTTGCGATTCTTTTACTATCAACAACAAGGAGTGGTATTACAGACATAGGTAACGACGGTTTTTTGTAATGTAATCGACTTAGAAACAAAAAACAATGTTCATTTTATGATGTAATACATTTATAATAGCTGATATTAGGATTCAATGTCAACATTATGTTTAAAAATAGTTAAATAAAAATGTTAAAAACTGTTTTTGGGTATTTAACGATAATTTTATTGATTTGTTATTTAAGATTTCAATTTTTTTGTCACAAATTTCGATAACCGGAAACTTGTTACAGCGTATGGTGGTATTTTTGAATTATGTATGAGCAGTTAGGTATATCCAGAATAATTTCTATTTTTGTCTCAAGAAAGTATTGCTACTAGTTCTTAAATTTGAATTTCCTTAATATACACTGAGGAAAAGGTTTAATTCGAAAAAATAAAATTTATTAGAGTCAATTAAATCGTTTATTTGTGCTTGCCGAATTAAAGATTTCGTTGAAGTTAATAAGACATATATTTGAATGAAATTAATATATATTTAATTCTAAAAAATAGTTCAAACGGTGAAAATAAATTAACTTACTTGCTGTGCACAATGAAATATTTATTTCTGGAAGAGCCTATTTAATTGGTATACTTAATTTTGTTCGTTGTTCGAAAAGCTACCTTACTTATCATGTTGATATGAACTTTTTTTCTTAAAATTAGTCAAAGATTCACCCTTTAAAGTTTGTACAAGTACTTAATAAACACCCTGTATATTATATAACAATAAATAATTAATATTTTCAAAAAACTGATACGTCCTACTAGTTTCAAGCAAGCTTCTTCCTCTGTATAACTCTTACAAAAAATTCAAATACTTTATAACACTTATGAATTGATTTGAAAAATATTGTATCTGCCGCTGTTTCAATTCTCTCGTTATTTTTAAGTGGAAGTTCCTCTTTAAATAACCCCTGGCAAGCAATTAGGTGTATTAAAATGGGGGGGATTCTGCTAGTCATTCAGCTCAACTAATTCGTTTTCTAAACCGTATTTGACATTTTTCAAACCTACCGCAAAATGAGATATCCAAAAATGCAGAAATGTTGCTATGTTTTTAGCAACTTCTTGCCTACCATTTGACATAAACTTATTATCTGCGTAAGTGTAATACGACGTGTTACTTCGAAAACATGCTATCTCAAATTTAGCTTGGAAAACATGCTATCTAAAATTGTACTTGGAAATGATGCTGCCTAAAATTGAACAAAAATGTTTATTATTACTAAAAATTATTCGACTTTATTCATACAAGTTTACCTTGACATAAAAATTAGCAGCGCAACCTTATCTGATTTATAATCATTACTCTCGATAGGTACACTTATTTTTTTTTTCACAAAATCTGGGATGCAGAATTTATTCTGAAAATAATTTTATATGCCTCATGCGGACTTTAAGGAGACAACAATAAAAAGGATTATATAGTGGACCAGGCTAGGCCTCGAACTCCGGGTCCGAATCGTTCTTACTGCACCTCAATCAAAACAAATGGCTTGTTAAAGGTACGGTAGCCGCGTGCATGCATAGACTTTAGAAATGAAATGCAGGTATGCGACGCTTTATTATACTTGTACTTTATGATCTGCTGGATATCGATGCGACGGACGCAGAGCATATGATATGCAAGTGCACGGTTCCGCAGTTCCCCATGCAGACACGTTTATCGTACATATCATTCAACTTTATACATTATATTTTATATTCTGGTTCTTCGATGTTGGCTCTGACACATTGGACGTAGGTAGTAGCTTATAGCGACCAACTTAACCTCATTTCTCAACGAGCTGTATAGCAGCTGTCAGTTTCAATAACGTTAATGACTATATAACTTTATTTTAAAGAATAATCGTGATAACAATAACAAACAATTAAAGGAGCTGCGGAAAGTGTCCCCCTCCTTGTCCCAAGCACTTTTCACACCTGTTCCTCAAAGAATTAAAGACATTTTCTAAGATGCTCGGGGTATTGTTAATTTCACGAATCTTGTCTATAAGTCGAGCCTGCAGATGGTTTAAATCAGGAATAGGCAGTTCAAAAATAATGTTTTTAAGGTAAGGCCACAAAAAGAAATCACACGGCGTAATATCACATGACCTCGGTGGAAATTCATGTTCTGCATTGACTTATTAGTCGATTTTGGAAAACTTCCCTCAACATATTCATCGTCTCGCTTGCCGTATGTGCCCTTGCGCCATCTTGTTGAAAGTAAAACTTTGTAATTTCGTTTTCTTCCAGCTGGTTAACAAAAGGAGCGATAATTTCTTCTCTATACCTTTGCGCAGTAAGAGTACCATTAAAAAAAATAGGTCCATAAAACCTCCTTCGATTGAGAGCACACCAAACTCCAATTTTTTGAGCGTGTAGAGGGCCCTCGACAAAAAAGTTACCACATTCTCATATTCTGTGAGTTTACGTAACCACTTAAATGTAACCAGGCTTCATCAGAAAAAAAGGTTGATATTATGAAGTTCACCGTAGTTGTTTAAAAACCATTCACAAAATACAGCCCGTCGCGGAAAATCAACTTCATGAAGTTCTTGCTGACAAGTTAAACGATAGGAGAACAAACGCAAATCTTTTTTTAACACTGTGTGGAAGGTACCGACTGATACTCCCACCATTTGTGATAAAACACGTTCAGAAGTTCTTGGCGCATTTTCCATTATTTGTTGGACATTTTCTTTCAATTCTTCAGTCCGGTTTTTAGGTCGGCCGCTTCCTTTTTTTTTGTTACACTGCCCGTTTCACGAAAAACATTAACACAACGCTGAACTGCACTTTGAAAAATTTTGTACTCAACAACGCCGGGAAATTGATTTTGAAATTCTATGAAACATTCCTCAATAGAATACTTCCATATTCCATCAATCTTGCGTCCATTTCTAAAGTAGGACTCTATGATAAACACTTTTTGTTCTTGAGAAAACACCATTTTAAACGCTTTTTAAAACGAAAATATTCAAATTGATAGCGGCGATATAGCGCTTTGACAGATGACGTTTAAGTTCATTTGCTATACGCTACGCCCTACGTCCAAATTTTCAGAACCAACTTGACCACGTTTTTATTTGAACGCTCGTTATTTTATCGTTTATAACAGTAAGTTAACAAAATTGATTGAACAATGTTGAATGAAAAATATAAAATAAACAGTGTATCTGAACATAAATATTCCTTACCTCTGTATAAGTTTATTATATGTGCACAGTTTCAATCATTCAATGTGCATTTCAACAATTGAAATAAATCTGCTTTGATACGTTTATCATCCCGAATATATCGTACGTATCATACTCATTTTGTATGCCTCTTTAAAGTAATAATGGCTTTGCCGTGGTAAATAAATAAAAAAATGTAATTCTACATTTCTTCTAGTCACGATAATAGAATAAATAACAAATTCTACAATTATAAAGATAACATTCTTGAACACTAAACGCAGAAGTACTTCTGTTAATTTTAAACTCAGTAAATCCCTTGTTTTTCTCATTAACAGCTGTAACTATGATGTAAATTAATAATCTTTTTCCACGGACAAGCCTGCATGTTTTTGCATCGTTTAACGATAAATATTTCTTTGATTAAATCGTATAAACAAACACATGGTTATTATGATTTCAAGTGGTGATTCAATTTAGCAATTTAGCACGATTTTGCAACAATAAATATTATTTGAGGAACAAATACAATCCCATAAATAATTATTGAGGAATTATTGGCGATCTTAGGGTAAAGTAGGACAAAGATTATCTAAAATTTATTGACTAATTTGTCAAATATTATCTTTAGTATCGACAAAATTTAAAAAAATGTCAGTAACAAGGAAGTTTTAATGTATGGTATTGCAAAATATGTGAGGAAGCGATCATAATTTAATGTTTAGCTGCACTGCATATATTTATTATTTACAAAACAGTATTACTTGACATACCTCAATGACGTATGATATCATATTTCTGTGGAAATTCATCTCAAATATTATCGCTGCAACAAAAACCAAAATATTAATCTTTTGGCTCTATTGGAATTATCTTCACAATATATTGTTTACAATTCTATGTTGGCAGATGCAGAACAATTAAAATTAATGTTTAACTAGAAATCCTGATCTAAACTTAAACTAAAAATGGTACATTGTTGTACAACATCCCACAAATTCATATTTTTGTTAAAATCAATTTCCATTCATATTTTCTTTCTTTGTTCCAGTGCCTGGGCAATCACGAATTCGACAATGGCGTAGCAGGCCTCGCACCATTCGTAGAAGCCGTTACCAGCCCCATAGTAGCGGCCAATATGGACTTCAGCAACGAGCCATCCTTGCAGAAAGTCCAAAGCTCCGTTGTCATCAGCAAAGGGGGAGTGGATATCGGCATCATAGGCCACCTCACTCAGGAAACCAAGAAAATCTCCATTCCCGGCAAAAATGTGATATTCAAAGACGAAGTGGAGTCGGTGAAGAATGAAAGCGAAAGGCTTGATAAGCTGGGAGTGAAGATTATAATAGTTTTGGGGCATTCCGGGTACCTTATGGACCAGAGGATAGCCGCTGAGGTGCCTTTGGTGGACGTGGTTGTTGGCGGACACACCAACACCTTCTTGTGGAACGGGCAACAGCCTGACACCGAGACTATTGAAGATTTGTATCCCAAAGTTGTGACGCAAGAGTCAGGAAAGAAGGTGCCGGTCGTGCAGGCATACGCTTATACCAAATACTTAGGTAAGTTGGTGAAATATCACAATACTTGAGTACGATAAAGTAAAATCATCGCATGAATTCACTTCTTGCAACTTTCTTCATTTTTAGTTTCTTTGTTCTTTCTGGCTGTATCTTGACATATTGTAGATATGAAGTGGAGATAATTCTAATGGATCTCCATGATTTCAGAGCTCCACATCTAATTATATCCTGCTCTTTAGACACTACAACTTTGATAGCTCATTCACATAGCTGCCAGATTCCCATTTTTCTCTTCCAAACAGTATACGATCCATTCTTCTAGGCTTTTGAGCTAAGTCAATACATAGACTGTAATCTCTTCTTGCTCGTGACAAAACCTAACAGTCTACTTTCTAGGAAGCCTATAAAGCCTAAGGCTTCTGTAGGGCTATACATAAATATACTCTGAGTAACTTAATAACCTTCTGGTTGCTCCTTGCTATCCAAACTAGTTACATTGTTCTTTAATATGGAAATACTCTATATCTTATACCCCACAAGTTATATTTCAGGGATATTTTACTGATTATTCCTTTTGTTTAGGAAGGCTTAACCTCACTTTTGACGACAACGGCGATTTGACTTATTTTGCCGGACAGCCAGAGCTCCTAGACAGTTCTGTACCTCAGGAAGAAGACGTTTTACAACTTCTAGAAAAGTACAGACCACAAATAGACGCGCTCAACTCTGAAGTAGTGGGCAAGTCCAAAGTCATCCTGGACGGTGACTCCATCAGGTGTAGGCACGAGGAATGCAACTTTGGCAACCTCATCGCTGACGCTTTCGTCATGTACAAAGCCTCAGTTTCGCCCGAGACTTGGACCTCCGCTCCCATAGGCTTGTACAACGGTGGTGGAATAAGAACTACCATAGAACCGTTGGATACGGGTGAAATCACTAGAGGGGAACTCCTAGCAGCTGTGCCGTTTGGCAGTACGCTGCTCACAGTAACCCTGAACGGTTCTGACCTCATCAAAACTTTAGAGATTGGAGCCAGGAGTAACGGGGAGACTTCCGCGGGGGAATTTCTGCAAGTCTCCGGACTGAAAGTGGTCTACAACATGTCTCAGCCGGCATTGTCCAGGGTGGTATCCGTGAAAGCAAGGTGTGGGGTCTGTACTATTCCTACCTACGAGGAAGTGGACCCCAGCGCAAATTACACCATAATCACCACCAGCTTTTTGGCCATGGATGGTGGGGATGGCCACTACGTACTTACTGAGCATAGTTTCAATAGGGTGAATGAGGATTTGAATGACGTCGACACTGTGGCTTGGTACATCTCACAGTACAGTCCTGTGTATCCTGAGGTGCAAGGAAGGATAGGATTTGTTGTTGGTAGTGGTAGCGACAGTGGTGATGACGGAAGTCCAGGTTTTGCTCCCAGGACAAGGCCCAGCGGATATATTGTTTACGTCTTGCTGATAATCGGACTTTACAATTATTTATTGTAATTGCTGTAGGTATTTTAAATAAATGATAGATATATTTTGTTATAATTGTGTTGTGTTATTATTATTATTAAATCTTTCAATTCGTGCAGTGCTTTCAGTAGTCATGAATACTATTTCCGAATACAGGATCCTGATAATAAATTTAAAACTGATGAACGCGAATATTAAATACTGTCAAATAAATGTATCAAATTACCAAATTACACTTGGAGAAAAAAAAAATGTTTCCTGAACTTTTTAGAAGTGGAAATGGTAAAAGGGCTTATAGTAAACCTAAAAAAAAATTAATGCGTGAGCGGGGGTGGCGGAGGGTTGATATGGCGGTTGAAAAGTTGTGAAAAATTGTATCATTGGGATTTCTGGCGAAAGTTGATGTCAAACAAAAAAGTAGATCATGCAAAAATCTACAACTTTTGTAGAGGTCACTTTTTACGATAACCTCAAAATTTTCGAGAAAACAGGTTTTTTCTGATTTTTCGTTTTTTATTTCTTATTTCCGTAAAATTAACTTAATTTTGACGAAACTTGGTGAATGTATGCCTTTCTGACAAATTTTTTTAGATAAAGATTTTTTCAAAGAAAAATTCAACTTAGGAAAATCATCGTACTAACGGTGATCATTTTTTTCGTTTTGACATATACTTTTTGGTGAAATAAAGTAATCTGTAATCAAGTTCAAAAACATGCTCAAAAATGCAAAAAAAATAAATAATGACTTGCAACAAAGAATTTTTCAGTAATTGTTGATAATTTGTTTAAATTAAAAAAAATCAAAAACTGATTACGCCATTCAATTGTACGGAAAAAAATACAAAAAAAACTGTCTCGTTGTTTGACCCAAAACTTTATTTTTGTACAGTATTGCTATAAACATCTAAGTTGAATTACAAATGCACGAATGATAAATTATCTCTGGATGATTTGATATTTCAGTTATGCAAAGTATTAACTGCAGTCTATTATTGACGTGAAACCCGAAACCCTGAAATTTTGCAAAATCGTTTTATTATTTTTCTTAGCTTTATTTGAAAACGAATTTTAAAATAAATTGCATATTTACATTGCCACTTTTTTCGCTCTATCCAATGGCGTCAACATTTTTGCAATTCGACGTTTCGTCTTCGAGGCGATATCATCAGGTTAATTTTTTTCAATATGTCGCTGCTATTTTTATGCCAAAATCTAGTCATTTTTAATTCTGAATTAGATGATATTACTATTGTAATCGCTTAAAAAGGTTTTTAGCTATCATTTAAAATTTTTCCTGAGTACGGCTCTGAACGCTTTTAAAATATCTATTGGAGGAAGTCATAACAGTATAAAAGTCAATAAAGCACAAAATATCCAACAATTTTTTTTATCAATAATTTAAAAAGTTGTACCTAATAAAAAAATAATACGAATTTATGAAATGTTTTATTATGATGTCTAATTAGATATTTTGTGCTGTATTGACTTCTATACTGTTATGACTTCATTCAATAGATATTTTGAAAGCGTTCAGAGCCGTACTCAGGAAAAATTTTAAATAATAGCTAAAACAAGCTAAAAACTTTTTAAGCGATTACAATAGTAATATCATCTAATTCAGAATTAAAAATGACTAGATTTGACGCAGCGACGTATTTAAAGAAATTAACCGTGATGGCGCCTCGAAGACGAAACGTCGGATTGCAAAAATGTTGACGCCATTGTATAGAGCGAAAAAAGTGGCATTGTAAATATGTAATTTATTTTAAAATTCGTTTTCAAATAAAGCCAGAAAAAAATTAAACAATTTTGCAAAATTTCGGGTTTTTCCGGATATCTCCGGAACTACCCAGAATTTTAAAACTTTCTAAACAGCATATTGTTAGGTATAAAAAACACAAATATTTTCTAATCTGAACCACCCCGAATCCCATCCTTATCTTGGACACACTGTATATTTATGAATTCATCAAAATTTAAAAAAAATAAGTACACTAAACGATCTAACGGAGAAAAATTATTATTTATTTTATTTATTCACTATTCGACTTAAGTTGAATTTTTCTTTGAAAAAAAAAGTGTTTCAGACCGAAAAAAATGAATATCTCGGAGACTTCTCGATTTTTTTATTTAAAAAAATGTGTGGTTATATAAGTCACAGAAAGGTATACTTTCACCAAGTTTCGTCAAAATTAAGTTATTTTTGCAGAAATGAGAAATAAAAAACGAAAAATCAGAAAAAACCGGTTTTTCGCATTTTTCTCGGAAATTTTGAGGTTATCTTAAAAAGTGACCTCTATGAAAGTTGTAGATTTTTGCATGATCTACAAGTTTTGTATTGGATACTTTTTTGTTTGACGTAAACTTTCGCCAGAAATCCCAATGATACAATTTTTCACAAATTTTCAACACTCCCAAATTAACCCTCACGCATTTATTTTTTTTCGTTTATTATAAAATAACCCCCTTTACCATTTCTACTTATAAAAGTCCAGATAACAATTTTCTTTTTTTTTTCCCTCTAAATGAGTTTTTCAAGTGGTCTAAAAAAAACTTTTAAATTGAAGTAAAAGAACAGTTTCTGCAACATATTGATACAAGAATACTTTATTTTTGTTTTTATCCTTTGAAGTAAGTGTTCTTTGTACTGTAATGTTTTATGAACATTGGATTCAATTTAAGTAATCATGGATACATGTTTAACACAGTATTTATGGATGAATACCATTTCAGTATTTACTTACACCCAGTTCTGCTAATCAAGAATACACTGTATTCTAGTAACACCCAGCCCCTACTCCTGGTATGAACATGATGAAGATTTAAAACCCTTTTCGTTTCGCCGGTCTCACCACGTGCCGCTCTCAACAATCGGGAGCTAGAATAACGGACTAATAATAAAGCCAGATGTTCACATCAGCCTGGGCTGTGCTCTCGTGCATGGGGTGACGATTTACTGACACTAACCGTTCCTCCACCCCCCATGGCAATAAACAATCGCATTCATCGGGAAACGCAGCCATTCCGCGGCCATTTGGGCCCTAGTGCTGTGTACGGAACAGCTGATAAACGTGGGAAGAGTACAGCGTATCAGTTATGAGCGGTGATATCGGAATAAATCAATAACTTCACCTAATCTAGTTAGTTTATCGAGACAAAAGACTGGCGGGTGTAGAAGAGATGGTTCCTGACGATGACAGCTCGCTGTCAGGTTACGACGAAAAAGTATCTCGGGGGGGAAACGTCGGGTTTGATGGAAAGAGGGCCCACGAGGAGTTCGTCAAGTGCGTGAAGGAAAGCGGTCGGCAGCTGACGAGGGAGGAGGTGAAGAGGATGTTAAGATTTGCCTTTCAAGGGGGCGATCTCAGGTACAGAGGGGCGGCTTCAGGTGGCGATTGTGCGGGTGGTGAGATTGGAAGTGAAGACGCAGTGCAATAGGAGACAGGAAGTACGGAAATGGAAGAGATTTTTGTTGTGATAAAGATTTTTAACGAATATGTAGGAGAGAGTTTTAAATAATTGTATAAATGTGTTTTAATTTGACGAAATATCACGATTATTAATGTAAATTTATATATAGTGTAATATTTAACATACAGTTTATTTTAAAATATAAAAAATATGTTCTTAATAAAAAATAATAATATTAATTGTTCACATTTTTTTCCTGAAAGTTAATATATTCATTAAAAAAAAACCAAGAAAAATTTAAGGAACAGAAAAATTTCCAAATTTAGTGATTTTTGAAAGCTTGTAATTTCGTGAATAATGGTTATATCGAAAAAAAAGCACCTCGAACATGTCGGAAAAACGACGAGGTTGCAGACATTTTGAACGGTTGATATCTTTTGTCAGAGAATTAATTTTATTTTCACGTTTCATTTGAAGCTTTTAAGTTATTCAATTTAAAAAAACAGTATCTATAAATTTTTCATATGTCGTTAAAACGACGTGTTTCGGAAAAATTAGAGGAAAACGCTCCAAAATCGAAAAAAGTCACAAAGGAAAAAGGTGTCAGACTAGGCCTAATGAAGCTACATAAGAAGTATGTATCAATAAAAGTTTTGCCTACGGGCACTCTAACCACATGTTTGAGAAAAAAATTATATACCCAGCATTAATTTGAAAAAGTGCAAAAAAATTACTTTTTCTGCTGTTTTGGAAAACCAACGACTACTTTGAAAATATTGAAAAAATACCTATGTATATAGGTTTTTTTAGCACGTTGACTGCGGTACATACCTCGGGGGGTATGTACTCATTATAAAAAATATGCGAATCTCAATAATCACATTTTTATGTATCTGTGGAAGTTGCAGAATCTGTAGTTTTTAGAAATATTGATTTTTCTATTATTTTCTTTTCAAAACTCTTTGCGAATGAAAACGTTAGTATCCTAGGATATATAGTTACAGATACACGCAAGTTTATAGCAATAATTGTGTTATTTTTAATTTTATAGGGTCAAATGTAAAAAAAATACATATCCCCAGGGATATGTACCGCACACAGAAGAAGTTTTGTTACATATCCCCGAAGATATGTATCGCAGTCACGGACAAAGTACATTGAGATTATCTCGCAGTCAACGTGTTAGATAATTTCCTGATCGTCAATTTTAAAAAAAATTATAGGAGCAGTTTATTGCTCATTAAACATCAATTAATGATTAAGATGAAATAATTTTTTTTCATAATTACGCTTTACATAGGTACTCATCAAATATAAAAAAATAAAATTAAATTAAATTAAAAAAAATAAGTTTTTTTTTCGACATTTGGAATATTCAATGTAAAATTGTAAAAATGGGGACGCAAAAAAAGTATAAAAAATTTTGATTTTTTTTTCAAAATTGAATTTTATTTCAAAAGTTTGAATTTATTTTTATTTTCGATACCTATTTGATGAGTATTTGATTTGACTTGATTGTGAGAAAAATAGCGTTGTCAATTTCTACTCTTCTGTGAAGAATCAGCAGAATATTGCAAGTCAACAACGTCACCACTATGGTCGACTTAAAAATAAATTGAGAATGCCGAGCAACTTATACGTTTTTGTGAGTGGTTTACTGGAAA